TCCAACTGTTGTAATATTAATTAGTGCCAAGTCAAAGACAATTGCACGCGTATTGACTTATAACTAATGATCATTCATACATGTCCTATTTCTCTGCAAGAGAGTTTGCAGATAATTTTTAAGTATCCTTTTTGTATAGGAGAAAGTATTAGGAAATGTTTTTTAACTTGTGTTGGAATAAATACCTGCAATTATTAATATTGTTGTAGTTTATGGTAACTGGTGATTGGACTGGAGATGATGCCTGTGATTGTTTTAGTTTATAATCCCTCTCTCTGTTTACGTCGTTATTTGACAACTGATGGATTCCAAGCAATGAGTGGTTTCAAGACTGCAGAAAAAAATACAGCACAAAGGGCATATGGTAAGGATGCTTTCTTTCTGGCCCAAAGGATTTTGATTCCATCTCATTGGTGGTTATGTAAGCATTTGCCTCTTCCTCTACCAAATAACCTTAACAGCAGGCTATATTATCAAAGCCAGGTTGGAACCTGTAAGTTGCATACCATCATCATCGGACTCCCTCGTAGTTGAGGATCATCGTCTTGTGTGATTGTCTTATCTGTGGGTCCAAGGATAGCTGATGAGGCCTATCTGGGATCGACGGGCTCTGTTGCAGTTCGGGTACATGTTTCTGCGTGGTTTGGGTAGCTCTGGTTGTTGGTTTGGTCTGAGACACGTTGTTTCTGCCGCTCTCTCTTTTTTCCAACTACCTGTTGTCATTGCAAGGTTTCAAAGTACCGAGATCCTTGCAGCAGACTTTTCCTCCATTTGGGGCAGTCCTGGGCAATAGTCTCCCACGAGTTGATATCAATGTTGCAGTAAGTGCAGTGTTTTATAAAAGCAGAAGGGTTGCAACAACTTGAAAAATAACATCTAAGAACAACACGTATACTCTGGAGTTCTTAAACTTATCAGAAGTAATAAATTCTTCAGAAGGTAGCTTCCGGGTCAGTTCAGGATCAGATCCTTGAACCTTGAAACCATTTAGTGACATTTCTGCATCATAAAGGCACTTACTCATCAGAAATGAGAGTTAAGGCATAGAGCTCACTTCTTTCCCCTCTAGTGGCATGGGATTTTTCATTTTAGCATTACTATTACTGGTCCCTTAAATGAATCCTGGCATCTTCCCTTTCTTTTGGGAACAGGTTCTAAAGTTTTCAAAGTGTTTTGGTGCTTGGTACCTGCTGAAATCTGTGAGTGTTGCGTGCCATAATATAGAGAATTCTGATTCTGATTTAGGTTTGCAGTACCTCGTTGCTCACTCCTTTGGGTAATTTTGTGTCTTAACATTGAGACCAGATGTTATACATGTTTCTTTATCATTGGCAAATCTCAAAAGAAGGAATACATGGATGAAAGTATAATTATTTCTAAGTGAGTGGCAGTAGAATAATGTATTAAATATCACTTCTAAGAGTTGGGGCTACATAACTTGCAAACCAGCAGGGATTGAGTCAGAGCATGCAAGCATGATCCTGGGGTCATGATCCTTGACAACTGGCTTCAAGAATTACCTTATGGAGGTGACTCTACATGTTTCTGTGGAGAAGATGGGTAAGGCAAGAAGAGATTTGGTTTTCAGCTCCAGTCATCCAGCTCCAGGACCTTTTGGTACCGCTATATCTTTGTACTCTAATATTTCTTTATGTTCAGCTCAATTTTATTATACCCATTGATTCTACAGGTAGAAAGGACCCTCATAATCAAGTTAGAAATTAACTTGAAATAATGGTACGTGGTTCAGGGGAGACATATTACTATTTATATCAAATGCCAGGTGAGTTAGGCCATTAGTAGTCTTATGGTCCCAACTTTCATGGCACTATGCAGTTATAAGTCAGTAGGTAAATAGCATCTGACTCAGTTTATTAGAACCAGGAGCATACAGGCACAGCTAGGTGCCTCGGGCACATGGGCAGCAGTGACTTCTAGCTGTCATGCGATCATGATCATGCAGCTGCAGGCAGAAGCCTCTCTTTCACATCTCCCTCTTCCCAAACCCTCCAAGTCGGTGCTCAGAATGGTTGCCCTGTTTGCCCCACCCTGGTTTGGCCATTGAATAGAAAGAAACTTTTCAAAAGTAGGATAATCTTTCTTTTCACTGCAGACTTCATTGTATGCACCAGCTGGCAGTCCTAGAAACTGAAGCTTTAGTTTGGTACTGTAACAGAGCTGCAGATTCTCTGCTACTTTAAGGGAGAAAGGGCCCAGGGAGAGACTGCAGGAGAGCTGACCTGAGTAAACTGGACCTATGACTACACACCAGGACCATGGCAGCATGAGTAGTAGGAAGCCTATTGCAGGGCTAGTTGCTCCACAGTAGGACTGCAAGCTGGAGCCCTGCAGGGGGGACTAGGCTCTGCCACAGGTGG